GTTCAGCCACCTTTTTCTAACCAAAGCTTTCCACGGACCAAGAGCTGAGCCATCTTTGCTATGTAAGTTGCCCCAGGATTTGAAAAGGTCATTGGGACAGACTGTCCAGCAGAAGGAAAATGCAAGCCACGTCTGCTTAAATTTCCTTAAAAATAGGTAAAATTTTAATAATACGCTTTATTTAACACAATCTGTGTCAAAAATTATCATTCCAACCCTAGTCAGCACCAAGCAGGACTGATGAGGTTTGTGCATTTTCTCCCGAGGGAAGTCTGTCTTCTTGGCGGCAGTGCCAGCCGGCCCAGCCCGCGGGCTCCCCTCAACCTTCTCCTCTGCCGCCCGGGGTGACTGACCCAGCTCGGCTTCGAGACAGTCACTCACTTCCTGGGAACCCTGACGTCCCTGGGCCTTTCCTTCCACCCAAGAAGTGCTGGTGTGGTGGAGCGGGTACCCAGAAAAGAAACCCTGCTCTGACAGAAGGATACAACTCAGAAAAATCCCTCGCCGTGGTTGTTTTTTGGGTTTTTTGTTTTGGTTTGGTTTTTTGTCTTTTTGAGACAAGTTCTCACTCTCGCTATGCACTTCAGGCTGGCCTTGAACTCACTTTGTAGCCCAGCTGGTCTCGAACTCACAAGGATCCTCCTGCCTCAGCCTCCTGAGTGTTGGGATTATAGGTGTGTGCCACCACGCCCAGCTACCATGGGTTATTAAGGACTTGTAACCTTCCTGATTCACACTTTGTGATCAGTTAGAACTGGTGTGAAATACCTGCGACATCTGATCTGAGAAACGAGACAATAGAGTGATCCGCTCAACTTGGTTTGTCCTGAATCTGTGAGCATTAATTGTCCATGAGCTTATCTTCTAAGTGTGCATTTTTATTAGTTACGTGGACACTAATTTGTAACTAGCCAGTGCTCGAAGCCACTGTGGTACTGAACCCAACCATCAGGGCTTCTCGCTGACTGACATGTGATCACCTCCTGTGCTTTGCCAGGGCTCCCTGTATGTATTCCTCCCCCCAAAGTGAAAGAAAATCGGCCTTACAGCTTCGAAACTCATGCTAAGAGGTGATGCTAGGGATGGTCTAGAAGTGGTCTTCTGGACACAGTAAGCGCTCTTCTTTCAGGTTTGCACACAGAAACCACACCTCGTGCTGCTTCTGTGAGCACCACGTGGGCTGAGGTAGAAGAGAGAGACTCGGAGGGGCTCTTCTAGCGCCAGGCACCACGCCTGCGCCCTGCACCCCAAGCATGGCCGGAGCAGGAGGAAAGGGCACCTCTGCTGCGGTCCTTTGACGTGGCACGCTTGTCCCCGTGGCTGTCTCACCCTCCCTGGGCGTGGGCCCGGAAGCGGAGGACCTGGCAGAGGCTGGGCTCCGCAGACACGGGCTGCTCTCTGGGCGCCAGCATCGCTGTCTTCGGCACCTGGGGCTGGCCACTGCGTCTCCAGGGATTCTGTTCCCAGGACAAACTTTGGACTGATGTGCAGCAGGACTCTGCAGCCAAGTGACTGGCTGGGGGAGAAGCTCCCTCCAGGACCCAGGGTACCCGCTCTGAAGTCTGCAGAGGTCTCCAGGCCCTGCTTGCGGGGTTTTTTTTAAAAAGAGCGTCATCTTTTACTTAGTGACTTAGTGACACCCTGTCTCAAAACATTTGGTTAGTTACTACTTAGGCAAGAAAAAAATACATTGCCAACAAACACATGGGTTGGGGTCATCGTTGTAATATATATTTTTTGAGGCAGGGTCAGCCTATGTTGCCCAGTTGGCCTCGAACCCACAGTCCCAAGTCCTGGGAAGGGAAGGCTGAGGCAGGATAATCTCAAGTGTAGGGCCAGCCCAGGCAATTTTGGGGTACTCTGCCTCCAAATGAAAAGGGCTGGGGGGGTGTGCTGACTCATACAGCACTACCGAGCTGGTGTGACACCCCAGGTACAATCAGCAGCAGCAGCAGCAGCTGGCAGCAAAAACAAAACAAAAACAAAACGCACCGTTGTCAGGGACCACAAATTACCGATTGCCTGGCCCTGTGGGCTGGTTGGAGTGGGGAAAGCCCGCTTTCTCCCAGCCAGGGCTGAGGCCTCAAGGCCTCTTACCTTGGCCTCACCGGGTAAGATAACACCTGCTGAGGATGACAGGGATTTAGAACAGTGCAGCAGCAGCAGCAGCAACAGTTTTGCTTGGGGGAAAGCAGTTTCTTTACGAACCTTGGCTCATCCTTGCAAGCACGCTAGTGCTCTTTACCGGCCCACTGCAATCGGCACTGCTGTTCCCACTTGCACTCTGCCCCTCTAAATGTGCGGGTGTGCATGTATGTGCAGTGAAGAGCGGCTGGCCGAGCCGGTCTTTGTCTCTGCCCATCCAGAGGTGCTGGCCCCCAGCCCCCTTTGTGTGTTCCTAACACTGTCTCTTTTATTTCACCCTTCGCCGTACCCCTCAGTCCTGGCCAGGTTCCTGGCACATTATCTTTGAGTAAAATGTCGGGTTAAAATATCCCAGAACCACACCCCGAAAGAGAAGGGCAGCCAGGCGTGGCGGCGCAGCCTGCGATCCCCGCATGCAGAGGGTGAACTGAGCAGGCCACAAGTTCAGTGCCCGCCCGGGCCACACAGTGAGCCCGCCTCAAAACAGAAACAGACAGAAGCGCTCGGGGGCATCACCGGTAAGGAGGCGAGGGTGGCAAAGTAGTGCGTGACTGGTGACACTTTTCTCCGTGGGTTTTTTTCATCTTTTTGAAACAAGTCTTGCTATGCAGCTCCCCAACGGCTCCGGAAGAGGTGCCCGGCGCTGCCTGGGTAACACTGCCACTCTGGGTGTTCGCGAACTAGGTGTGCTCCCTCCCCACTTCCCCTTCTGGATCCAGAGCTGCTCCCCACGCGGGGGCTGGCTGTGGGGTTTTACCAGGTGCTGTCAGAGCCAAAGCACACTCTGGGGGCTTCTCACACACGGCCCAGGGCGCAGCCCCCAGTCCTACTGGGGTGGCTAGTCTCTGGCTAGTGACTCAGGAAGGGGGCCCCCTGGATCCTTAGAGGGGACCACTGGGTAATACTCAGCAGTGCTGCGCCCCGTGCCCACATCGAAGGGGGCTCCCTCCACCTGCACCATCTCTTCAGCACCGGTGTGCCCGTCTGCTGCCCTGGCTGTGGAGTGTGGACACCCTGCACGGTCTGGGCTCTTGGGGACAGGGTCGGGGGGGAGGGGTCTCTGTGCATGACAGCAGCAGGACCTTTCTGCCTCTCCATGGTCCAGCTGGGCTCCGGCCACTTGTGCAGGCCGACCTGGCCTTGCCGCCAAGCGTAGAGCCCTGGTCTGGCGGCGCTCCTCCCCTGCCTCCTTCCAGGCCCCAAGACAATGAAGGGCCCGCCCTGGCCCTTGCACTGAGGAGCTGTCCACGCCAGGCCTGGGCATCACCTCTGAGCTCACCCTGTACAGGGAGGCCCTCTCCCTGCACCTGGGGGCCCACAACTGGGAAGGCCACCGTCCCCTGGGGCTGATGAGGCGGGGAGCCTGGAGGCAGGGAAACAGAATCAACTGCCTGGTCCATTCCCAGGCGGCTGCAGCGACCCGGTGTGTGTGCGCCCTGCCGCTGTCCCTGCTCCCTAGCCTCCTGTGTTCCGCAGCCTCCTGTGTTCCACAGCCTCCTGCAGCCCAGGCCCACCCACCTGCCTTTCCTCTGACTTTGAGTGACATCAGACTGGGCCAGTCAGATCTTCCAGCTCCCCGCGGTCTTCCTGCCTTAGCTCCACCTGTTAATCCTGCTCCCTCTGCTCCAGGGACATCCGCCCCAGGGCCCAGGACAAGATCCTGAGTCCACTGCCCAGGGCAGGTCTGGGAATCCCGCCTACAGCCCGGGAAATCGGGTTCTACAGACGGATGCGCAAGTGCAGGGGCTGGAGCCGGCCAGCATCGGACTTCGGCTTACGGCTGGTTCACGAGGAGGCGTCTGTCTGGGTTCTGGATGCCAGTGTCACAGGCAACTAAGTTAGATATCAGAGGCAGTCGGACAGGGCCAGGCCCTGAAAGGAGCCAGTGCAGAAGACAAGGTACCTTGCAACTGTGAGACAGGCACCTCTGCTGCAGGCCTGACCTCAAGATCAAGGATGAAACAAATGCACCCACATACTTCCCAAGGATAAACGTCGGGGACTGATATTCTAAACAGGTCTCTATCACCTTGAGAAAACCAGGAAGAGTCACTAACTCAACCCCTACAGGAAAAGCAGCTGTTCTGCATTCATGCCTGCTTGCTACATGACTTGCTTCCCCATTTCATCCTGACTTAATTTTACCTGAGCAATTCTACTTGTAATCTTACTGACTGACCACAATTTTATCCCACCTCATGCCCACTTTATGAGTTCCCATGTTTTCCACCTGGGACCTGCTTCAAGTCATGGATTTGCTCTATAAAAGTGCCTAGAAAAGGCAGGTTCCTTAGCAACTCACTCCGGTCCTCTTGTGTCTCTCTCTTGGACAGCAGCTTTCTTACCCTCAATAAATATGATCTGCTCTTTACCTCTGTTGTTCTTAAAATTCATTCTTCGATTTTAGAGAACACAGACTCGTACCGGACGTCCAGCAGGTCGGGAGCTTCTTTCTCTGTATCACCAAGAGCCCCTCTGCCACACGTAAGACTACCCTTCCACACTCCGGGAGAGACCCCGGACAGTGACCCACAATTCCACACGGTCTCGCGTGCTGGACCCTCCCTTCTGCACTGGAAGGCCAGTCTCTCCGGGCCTGTACGCTGGTTTTGAACACTAAGGACTCTACCCTGGCCTGGCCAGTGCCCCTGGGGTGGGACCTGACACCCTGCAGGAGCGCAAGGACGGGTCACGTCACCCAGGGAAGGGCTGCAAAGTGCCGGAAATGGGAAGAGAACAAGGCCCTGACAGCCCCACCAGCACCCTGGTGCAGCTGTGCATTGTGACAGTCTGCTTGCGCACAGGCCAGGAAGGCTGTGGCTCAGGCGTCAAAGGTCTGCCCTGCGCACACGCACCCGTGTGAAATACTCTGTTTATTCCTCCCTTCAAGGAGGCAGGCAGTCCCGCCCCCGCAGCCCGCCCTGCCCTGTCCTCCTGCATGGGCAGCTCCTAGGGCCGGTGTGCGGCGTCTCCCTGGGCCTCTCCCTTGTCCACGGCCCCTGGTCTGCTGAGGCTGGAAACACTCACTGCTGAGGGAGTGAGGCGGGAGCCTGTGGGGCAGGGAGGGGCCTGGACCCCTCCGGGGACGCCAGGACTTCAGAGGCGGGGACAGCAACACAGGGCTCGGAGGTGCCCAGGGACGCCTGCGGGGCCGGGTGGCTTTTGCTGCGGTGAGCCGCCACACTGTCTGGCTTCTCGAAGCGCTTGCCGCAGAACTCGCAGGGGAAGCGCAGGGCCGCCGCGGTCTCCGCATGCCTGCGCCGGTGCCAGTTCAGGGAGGCCTTCTGGCGGCAGGTGAACCCGCATATCTCACACCTGGGGACGGAAGGATGGGGACAGGATGGGAAGGAGATGCCTGCGCCACCCTGGCCTCCGCGCTCCCTGCGGCCCCGCCTCCCCACCCCGCGGCGGCCGGCACACTCACTGCAGGGGCTTCTCCCCCGTGTGGATGCGCCTGTGGATGACCAGGTTGCTGCTGGTGCGGAAGGAGCGGGCGCAGAACTCGCAGATGTAGTCCCTGGTGTCTGCGGGCACAGGGGTCGCTCAGCACCCTCCCCACACAAGCGCAGAGCACCCGCCAGGGCCTGGCTCTGCTGGCTCAGCCTCGTCGTGCCCCCGCTCTGTGCTCCTCCCTGCACTGGGTCCCAGCGGGCAGGCACAAAGCACCAGGCTGGGCTCCGGGACAGGGGAGAGGGCTTCGAATCCAAGGCCCCCCGGCGCCTGCTGGCCCGAGTCACCTCTCCGGCTGGGCCCGCGCAGCGCTCCCAGCGCTCAGTCTATGGCCGTGCCCTCCCGCTGTGCCTGGGCCTGTCCTCTACCAGGAGGGCTAGCAACAGTGCTTCCCTCCGGCACCACCAAGCCCCAGCCCGCACCGGGTCCGCTGCCCTCCCTCTCCCGCCGTCGTAGGCCTCTGCCGCCTGAGGACGCGGCCACCATGCCACATGCCGGCCAGGCCCGCAGCCTCCTCCCTTCGGCCCTGTCACCCCAACTCATCACACAGCTCTGGCTCTAAGCGCATTACTCCCGCTCTCCGACCTGCACAGCCCATCCCCCACTCTCCTCGGCCGCCCTCCCAGGCTGCACCAAGCACTGTGCCACCCTGGAAGTCACAGCTTCCAGCACGCTGGGTCCGCCGTGGCCTCCTCTGTCCCACTCGGGTAACTAAGCACAGCTCCAGGCCGCAGCACCGTCACCTTTTCACCGTCCCTGCCCCAGCTCGGCCTCCGTTCCCTGCTTACAGCCTCCCCGCCCACCTTCCCCTCCCTCAGCTATGCTCCGTCGGCCTGCCTGTGTGTGCAAGCGGGCACTGTCCTCCCCGGCTCTGAGGACAGCACAGCGCAGCCTCCACGGGCTCCCCGGATGTGTCCCCCGCCACTGCACCCCACTGTCCAGGCCCAGAGTGTGAACCTCACAGCTGCCAGCTCCCCCGGTCCCAATGCCAGTTGTTTGAGTATCCAGGAAGAAAACCAAGAGCCAGGCGTGGTGGCGCACACCTGTAATCCCAGCACTCAGGAGGCTGAGGCAGGAGAATCATTTTGAGTTCTAGACCAACCTGGGCTACAAAGTGAGCTCAAGGCCAGCCTGAACTGCATAGGGAGACCCTGTCTCAAAAATACCAAAAAAAAAAAAAAAAAGAAAGAAAAGAAAAGAAGGAAACTAGGGGAAATGTCTGCTGGCCATCCAGACCCTGGGCCCACACACATGTGCACAGCTGCCTAAGCGTGGCCCGGAGCCGGTGGGCGCTCCTTGTCCTCCAGCGGAGGTCACCTTCTGCCCCGCCCACAGGTTCTGCCGCGGCAAATCCATCCCTCTGTGCACCCAGCCTCCAGCCACTGCCCAACTGCCCGAAGTGTCCAGAGCACAGCCCTATCGCTGCCGGGAGGGACCCTGACGCTCCACACCAAGACCCTGCAGCGGCCTCCTCCCACTCTGACTAGCACAGACTCCTGGCACTGGCAGCGGAAGGCGCACGTCCCTGCAGGCCCACCTGCGCCCACGGATACCACCTGGGATGGCGGCGCACGTGGGTCTGCTCCCCCATCCCGCCTTCTCCCCTCCCCCAGCCTCCTCCTCAGGAGGGGCATCATGCGGGGCAGGGTGGGGAAGCAGCCGCCGCTCACCACTGTGCAGCTTCACGTGCTCCTTCAGGTGCTTCTTGAAGTTGAAGGACTTCCCGCAGGCCGGCTCCGGGCAGCAGAAGGACTTCTGGTGGATGTGCTGGTACTTCTTGTGGTGCTTTGTGCAGGAGGAGAGCCGTCTCTGCCACCCTCCTGTCCCTGCCCCTCAGCAGCCCTCCCTGTCACAGCTGGGGACGCCATCCTGACCCAGTCCTCACCGCGCCCACCAGCGTCACCCCCTGCCTGCCCGGCCCGAGCTCGGCCCTCGCCCGGGCTCCCCGCCCCGCCCAGGGCAACTTCCTGCAACGTGGCCCTGTGTGTGCTGCCTGGGGCGCTGGCTCACCCCTCTGACCCATCTGCGGCTCACTGCGCTGGGCCAGGCGGGTGCTGGACACCAAGCAACACCCCAACAACCCGCGCTCCCTCTTCCTGGGTTCTTTCCCGGCTCTCCCTGCGGCAGCCCACACCGAGCTTCCCCTCACATTCAGGTACTGCCGATTGGAGAAGACCCTGCCGCAGCCGGGGAAATCGCAGGGCGTCAGCTCTCTTTTCGCAGCTCTCCTGGGAAGGAAGATGGGGAGCGGAGGCTCCTCAGTGCCCCCCCCTCCCCTGGGCCCGCCGGGTCCCACCCCCAAGTCCTACCGGATTCTCTTGGGCCCAATCTGTGCAGTGTCCTCATCCCAGGCCAGGGCTGGAGTGGACAGGGCCTGACTCCCGGGGCTGTAGGGGCAGAGACGGGGCAGAGGGCCTGGACGGAGGGCTGGGCCCAGGACCCCCGTGCTCCACCTGAGCGTCTGCCGGTACCTGGCCAGAGGCTCTGCCTGTGGGGTCCCCCCGGGGTCCGGCTGGACCTCAGCTTCTGAGGTCGGGGGCGCTTTGGGGTGCGGCGGGGATGCTGCCGGGGACAGCTCGGCAGGAGAAGTGGGGACCGCCGCTGTGTCCCCATCCTCGGATGTGCAGGCGGCAGGGGCTGTGGGTGGTCTGGGCACATCTGGCTCGCCGCTGAAAGGAGAACCAAAGAGAGGGGGCATTATTTCTCTGGGTACCCAGCCAGCCTAGGCCCAGCCCTAACCCTAAATCACAAGGATCCCCAACCTGGAGCAACTCCGCCCCCAGCCTGGCCCCTATCCACGGCACTTCCCGCTTCCTCTGCCCCACCCTGCAGCCTGCCCCCAAGTCTGCGTCTGGGGTCCCCGGCTCTGCCTAGCACCCGGCCCCGACTTGCTCATCCGGGGACGAGCTGTAGCTCCACGGGCTGGCATCGCTCAGCATCTCCTCTTCCTCATCCTCTTCCTCTCTTGGGGGTGGGAAGGTCTCTGGTCGGGGTCCCACCCCCCTGCAGGCAGGAGAGAGGCAGCCTGAGGTTCCGCCCCCTTCCCAGGGCCTTTGGGCGGGCCTGGCCCTCCTGACCCCAGCCTCACCTGGGCAGCCGGGCTTCCAGAGTGGCCCCATCACGCTCCAGCTCCTGACCTGCGGGGACAGTGGGGTCAGAAGAATGGGGATAGGGATGCCTGTGGTGGTGGAGAAGGGGCAGGACCCCGGAAGTGCAGAGACGGGCTCTGAGGGTAGAGGGCAAGCAGCGCACCGAGAGACAGCCGGCTCAGCTCTGAGCGGGCACTCCTCCCTCCCACTGCACCCCGGTTTCCCCGTGCCCTTCCCTGGAAGCCTTTCGCAGGTACACAAACATACACCCTATCTTTATCCTCGATTTCCCTTACTGACCGTCACTGACGCCTCACTCTTTCTTCCTTCCCTCACTGTTTTTGAGAAAAGCCCTTCTATGGCTTCCAGCCTCGCCTTGAACCCTTCACACATCCCCCACTGTACCTGGCTGGCTTCCTTCTGACCCCTCAAATGTGTGCAAGGTCGTTTCCCTGCTAGCACGAAAGGCTCATTAAGAAACAGGGTTCTGAGCCACTGAAGTCTAGAACCCCCCCTTTCCCCCACAACTCCTACCTGCAGGCTCCTGCCCACTCCTCCAGGCCTGCTTGGGGGCCCCTGCAGGCGCCGGGCTCAGGGGGGGCTCCCAGGAGAAGCTGTGGCCCGCCGAGCACTCCCACACCAGTGCCCCGCGGCCCGCAGGCGCCCGGAGCTCAGGTGCCAGGCCACACTCGCGGCTATGCGCGTGGCACAGGAGCACCAGGCATTGCAGACTCTTGGGGGACAGAGGCTCCGGACCTGGGAGGGGAGCGTCCTCTCACCCACAGGCCAGGAGACGGCCCTGTCCCCCAATCCTTGAGCCCTCACACCTGGGGCAGCAGCCCTCCACTCTTCACCCCTACTCCAAGGTCCCCACGGCTGCCTGGGACCCCCGACTCCAGCCCCTTTCGGGGCTCATGGAGGGCTTGTGGTCCAACCCTGACCCCAACACCCAACCCCAACCCTCTGCGCCCGGCTCCCACCCCGGCCCCATCTACCACAGACCTGCGCAGAAGGTGCAGCTCGAGGACAGGTACCTGCAGGGGAGAGGCGCGGGTGAGGCTGCCTGGGGACCCCCGTGCCCCCAAGGAGCCCCGCCCCCGCGCCCCCCGCCGCACCCACCGGTCCAGCAGGAACGTGGCGAGCTGCGAGTGCAGCGCGAAGCCCAGCCGCTCCTTGAGGCGGCACCAGCGCTCCATGCGGCCGCCCAGGCGGATGCGGCACTTGCTGCGCCTCGCGTCCAGCCGCC